GAAGGGTTAATAAAGAATGCGAAACTGTACATTCTTCTTAACCGGTTCGCTGTTTTTGCCGAGTATACTCGTCACGAAGAAATGGCAAAATTTTGTGTCATGACGAGTATACTCTTCAAATACAGATGACCGGTCAAACATACTTGAAATTTCAGGCAACATTGAGCGTTGAAATTCTAGCAAAAGATAAGTTGAAACTGTGCAATAACATCTATTCAAATGAAAAGCCACGAATAGACAGCACTCAATAATACCCATACACGCTTCGCGTACCACTTTGATCTTTCCAAAAGCGACGTCCCAGACAACATTCTCTCATTCTGCATCTTCAAACTAACGGACACATTCGGGATCAAACTTGGACCCGTCTCGAAGACGAAAATCTCGACATCCTCATATTCTAGACGAACTTCAATTTCAGCAATCACGCAAGCGACTATAGGGTACATCTAGGAAGCTCATTCTGTCGAAAGTTCCGCGACGCAGCACTCGACTCAACGAGGCTGGACTCGAGCGCAAAAGTGCACCCCCAAACGCATCCACGGTATCTCGGCGTCGCGTAGCATCTCAGAGTGGTCCTGTTGATGCCGGTTGCAGTGGTCGGTACGTGTAAAACGCGCGGTGGTCGCGTCTACGTAGGTTCACGTGTACGTTCATCTCGACGGAGAGGATCGGAAGAAGGAGGAAGAGGAGAAAGAGGACGAGGGTGAGGAGGAGGAGGAGGTGGATGAGGAGGAGGAGGAGGAGGAGGAGGAGGAGGAGGTTCGGTGGGCACGCGGCGGGACAGAGATCGCCGAGAGAAGAGAAGGTAACGGGTAGACGTACGGGGGTGAAGAGCGGGGCTACCGAGGTGGTGTAATCTACGTAGCGAGTAGGTAGGATGGGCAGTGGATACACCGGCTACGTATAAGTATAATGACTGGCACTTCTATGCATTATCATACCGCTGGGGCTGGCCGGCTCCGGTGGTGGCTGGCCGGGTCCGTGCGGTGCCTGGGATCAGCCGTGCGGCCGGGGAGATGAATAATTTCAGGACGGGCACGCAATTACGTGCGCGTACGTCTCGCGTACCAAGTAGCCAGTCGACGGGCCACGCACGCATACGTGCACACGTGGCAAGGAGCCACGGACGCCGTAGAAAGCACCACCGTGCCGCACCATGGCCGCACCATGGCTGCACCATGCCGCGCCAAGTCCAACCCCTCTCTCCCTCTCTCTCTCTCTCTCTCTCTCTCTCTCTCTCTCTCTCTCTCTCTTGCCCTCTCGGAGAGCAACAGTCCCCCTCTCGGACCCACAATCTTGGTATCATTTATATTTCACTGCGGGCAATTATTTCGGGCCCCGGCCGTGCCCATCGGGTGTCCGATAAGTTCGAACCAGCGAGACCACCGCTCGCGGTGCTGGCACGCGGAGCCCCGGCTTGTCGCGGACCATCTAACAGTGTGCCCCAACGCTCCGAGTAGTATGATCCGACTCGATAAACGTCGCCGATCTCGACCCGGCTCTTCTCTTTGTGCGTGCTCTTTCGTGGATGCGCGAAATTCCGGGGCAGCCTGGCCCCACTTTTGTTTCTTGTTTCGGCCCAGGGGATGCAAGATTAAGGTTCGAGGGCGGAGCTGGGCGAGCCCGATTGATCGCCTTGCGCAGGCGAAATTAAAATTTTTCGGGGGGTTTGTTGTTGTTCGGCTTTGATGCAAATTTCACGACTTTTCGCTCGTTTTTCAGGGTCTTGGAATGGAGGGGGTGTGGGGGCTGAA